AAACGACGAGACGTAGCGATCGAATAAGAACCGACGATTCTTGGTCGGTTTTGAACTCGGCTCATTAGAGCAGCGCGCATCTCCTTGCGTTACGATCGCCACATTAATGTGTTAACATGCGCGAGATTAATTAGGGCTGTTATGGTTACGTGAGCCTGTCAGACTAGATCTTCCAGTGACGAGACCATAAGCAGAATTATGTGGAAGCGTTAATTAGAGAAGCCTGCCAACGGTTCAAGCGGAACGCTGTGAATGGAGTGTACGTACCTAACGATGACTTCGCCCGACAAAGCGCATTTCAAGTGTAAACTGAATTGATCAGATCGGGAGAGCTAACGCGAGGGAAGTGATGCGACGTTATTTTACATGCCATTTTTTTTTAGATAAATGCAAAGAAAGAAACCATATTGTGAACTTGTTTAATCAATTATTAGAGTGCAAGGCGCGACGATGTCTCGCCGATATCTTGCACAATTTAGCAACTACATCGTGTTCTACGTAGAAGTACCGTGTACACAAACGTGGCTACATGTCGCTTATCAGGCTTATCTTATACGAGACTGCGAGTAGAAAATGCGAGGGCGAGGAGGGAACACGAAAATCCGGTTATATGAACAACAGTAAGTCGGAGGTGCGTTGAGCCGGCTGAGAGCTCTCGGAAGTGGATAGCAGACGGATTAGTTCCTCCTCTTGATCGGACACGAACCATTCCGATTCCGAGCCGCCGACGTCGCTCAGATGCACCAACTGCTGCTGCAGCTGCCGTTCTAAGACCTATTCCAGGACCGGGCCAGACCAAAATCGTCAATGAGACTCGTATTAAAGTCCACCGTTCGCATCGTCGAAACATTCAAGATATACAGACAGTTTGCGCTACTACTTGCTGCTGCTATTTATCGCGGGACTCGATCGCATCGAGGGAGGTGAGAGGAAGCGTTGTACAACAGGTGGAGTATCGTTAAAAAAAAAACAAACAACATATTTTCTACAGAGTAGGCCGTCCGCCAGATATAAAAACAACACCCGTCGCTCAAGTATATCACACACACGGTAGAACGAAGCTGAACGTGGGGAACGGTTCAAGGTGGACTTTAATAGCCGGTCATGCTTTGGTCTGGGTATCCTCGCCTTGTATCCAACGATCTTGCACAGCTCGAGAGCGACGACGATGAGAGCTATCAATTCTGCACGGACGCTACGCGAGATTTTAGTAGAGCAAGAACGAAATCAGTTAGAGGCGAATACGAGGACGCTCATAAAAAAAAATTAAAGTCAATTAAAGTCCACCCCAAAAATGTCTCTAAGGAGGATAAACATTCTCCATGGTTACGTTTGAGACAGCGTTATTAAAACTCGGCGGATTAATGGATTAGCCAAACATCAGACTTGTCGTTAGTCCTCATAGATCTCGTAAGGTTTGTAACGTCACCTTACGTAAATCTCTCCGTGAAAGATCTACAAGTCACGTTGTGTACAGATTCTACTTATGCCTATTCAAAAGGGCATTGTTAGAATTCGACACATTAATTAATTATGGAAACTCTCTAGAGTTAGAATCTTATTTGAATATTCATCGTACTTTTTTAGTCTGCTAGGGAGACGTTTCGTTGGCGAATTAATATATTATTAATCGTTTAGGCACGTTACTCCATCTATTTGCGCAGGTTAATTTACCTTCTCCTCATTTCGTTACAGACAACAGGTTTCTTCCTAATAAGCGTATTCAGTCAGATTAATGCTAGGCGACAACAGAAGCGTGTAAATGAGTTTTCAGCTCCACTGTCGTTGTTAGAACGCCACAGGTAGAGTCCCACAGGAAAGAAAGCGAAAAGAATTCCGAACAGGCGAATTACCTTGGCGGAATCCTTTAGATGCGCCATACTGGGGTCATTGATGGGCTTGCCACTAGCGGCCTTGGTGGCGTGTATGAGGTCGCCAAGCGCAGATGCGACGTCCTTCACGGCGTTGATCAGCATCACCTGGGCCTCCGGATTCTGACTGCCCAGACTGGCCGCGCCGTACTTGACGACCTCGGCGAGCTGAACGATCGTCGACACCGCGTTCTGCGCCGCGACGGCCAGCTGTTCTTGCGAGGACGCCGCTCCGGCCACCAATGTCTTCGTGTCCTCCACCAAGGCCTTCGCGGTCTGCAGGATATTTTCGCGATGATCGGCGAACGTGTCGCCCTCGTTCTCGGCGTGCAGCGTGCCGGCGGTGGCGAACATGATGGTAGTGTCGAGGTCGCCGATAATGCCGGAGACCGTGCTGGCGGCATTGATGCACGCCTGAGTGCCGCGCGAGCCCGCCTGCAATGCGGCCAACACCTGCGATACCTTCTCGGTCACGATCTTGCTGTACTCCGCGACCTCTCGCTGGGCGTAAGCGTCACCGGGTGACATTTGGCATGTGCCGGCGGCGCGCACGATGTCCGCGCAGGCCCGGCCGAGTTCTTGCACTCCGGTACGAAGCCTAGCGGATACGTCGGCGTTGGAGGCAGCCGCGGACGCCCCGGAGGTATCGCGAGCTAGTTGGGTGTACTTGTGCGATATATCGACCGCTAGGGGTCCCAATCTGGCAACGTCAGTGCTCGATTTGGTCGACTGAAATAAAAGAGAGATATTGAATGATAGTTAATTTATAACGAGTATTAATTTTTATGATTAGATCGATTATATATTATAAAACATTTAATATTAGAGCTATTTACCATTTCTTGCGCCAACCGCGCGATCTCTTTGGCAGCTTCCACCATCCTCGTCTGATAATCCACGTAAGAATCCACGGTGTCGATAGTGGACATACGATGGTCCTCCAATCTCACCATCGCGCGAGAAATCGTGTCAATCAGGCCGGTAACGATGCCCGCGGACGTTGATATAGTCTCCAAGGTGTTCTGCAGCTCCTGAAGCGCGTCTTTGGTGGACTCGACGGTTTCGTCCACCTCGGTGTGCAACGCGACAGCCTTCGGATTGCCGCCGGACTCCTTGGTGACATAGATCAGCTGTAGCGCGGACTCGGCTACGGTCTTCGTCTGATCCAACAGCACCATCTGCTGCTTCGAGTGCACCATATTGGACGCGGCACCGATCGCGCCGGAGACGAGCGGTTCCGAGTAAAGGGCGATCTGATTGACGGCGTGGCCGACGTTCTCCGCCTCGTACTTGGCGGCGGTGCGCAACGGCTCCAGTTTCTCGCGTAGTTCGCTCGCGCTGCTCTCCATCTGATCCGTGAATCCCTGCACGGTATTCTCGCGGCGCGGCATCAGCGCCTGCGAGACCGCGCTCAGCGAAGCGGCGTCGAGCTCGCGTATGCGCGCCGACAGCTTCTCGATTGCTGCGTCACATTCCTTCTGGCCGGGTGCCTTATCACGGATCGATGCCACCAGCGATTTGATCGAGTCGCTGACACTCTTGCTGTGATTGGCCAGCAGCTGCCAGGTCGGAGGATCCTTCGGACTGACCGCGAGACTCTTGGCCGCCAGTACCATGGCGCACGAGCCGTCGATGATGGATTTGCCGGCGCTGGTGATCGGTTCCTGGGCGGCTCTAGCCGCGATGGATATCTTGGCCGGCTGGCTCGCAAATTCAGGAGATCCCGCGAATGTGCAGAGATTATCGACCGCTTCGAGCAGTGGTTTCGTGGCTTCCGCGCACTTTTCACGATTGACATCGGAATAATTCTGATCGAGCGCCTTGATTTCCTTAACGAGACACGCCGTAGAATTGGCAACGTCCTTGGCGGACTGGACGAAGTGTCGCTTGGCCACCGGATTGCTGGTCTTGCTGGACGCGAGTCTGCAGGCGTTGCAAAGCGCGCTGGTATGCTTGGCGATCATGGTGGCAGCCGAGAGTACTTGCTGCTGCGTGCTAGTTGGATTACCAAGACTCTGGCATCCGCTGTGAATGGCCTGCGCCGCTCGCAGGAACTGCGCCTGATCCACCAGACCGGGTTTACCCGCAACAGACGTGGGGTCGCTCACACCCGCTAGATAGGCCGCTTGAGCGGCTGCCTCGATCAAGCCGCAAATTGAGGAAGAGACTCCGCGCACCGCGATGGAAAACTGCTCGTGTTCAGACTTCTTCGCGTGATTCGCGATGCCAGTCATACCGTCGCCGAGGCTCTTGCTCTTTTCCATGACGGTCTCCAAGCACTCGAAATACGAGGCGTCGGAGATGGGCTCGCTCGGGTTGTCCAACAGCGATCGCATAGACTGAATGTTTCTGATGGCGTTGTCGCACTCGTTCTGTCCGGGCGCCGCCGAGGTGCACACGTCCACGAGGTAGTTTATGGAGTCGGTGACAGCGCGGGCCGCCGCCGAGAGCTGGTTCTTCGCGTTTGGCGCGGTGGGATCAGCCGCGATCGACTTGGCGGTCATGAGAAGCTTACTTGACGTCATGCTAACGTTCTTCAACGATACCACCACCTGAGTGCGGGTTTCGACCGTCGTCTGACTCGCCATCTCCATACCCACGCTCAACAGATCTCCAAAAGCATTGGTAAATTGTTTCGACGAGCTCGCGAGCTGCATAGGTGAACGCACGGACGACGCTACGTTCGACGACGCATCGTTCAAATTGACGGCGGCATTGTTGAGATCGCTCTGCAATTGCCTGCGACGTAAAAATACAGGAAAGTTGTAATATTATGTATCTATAAATATATGTCAAGTGTTCCCATGCATAAAGTAGAAAACGATAAGAGATAATTAGAAATAAAAAAACTAGCTCAAGGCAAACGCGAAAAGAATAAGTGGTTGTTTACGCTATTTACCCGTAACTCTTGCTCGTTTGCGGGAACTCATTCATGTTGAGCACTTGAGTCATGTCGTCGATGTTGCGTATCGCTTCGTCGACGTCCCTCTGTCCGGGCAGGCAGGACACGCATTTGTTCAACGAATAGGAGACGTCCTTGGCGACCACAGCTAGATTAGCCTCGTTCTCCGGATCGTCCGGGTTCTTCAGTACACGTCGCGCTTCCTTCACCAGGCGCAGCGAACGCAGAATCACGTCGTCCGCCGTCATCAGCACCTTCTTCTGCGTCTCCGGCTGATTGGACGTGGCGGCTACGCCGCGCACGGCATAAGTAAGATCTTTCAAGGCCGACGCGGTTTCTCTAGCGGCGCTCCCGGTGTAGTTCTCGTTGCCCTGCTTGGCGGCGGATAACAGCTGCGCCATGGCGAATCCAACATTTTTCGAGGTGGTGCCAAGTCGCAGCGCAGTTGATTCCGTCGTTTCTTCCGGTAGTGGTCTCAACGAAGCGGCCTCGACGGCGCGATAAAACTCGCCTAGCTCATCCTTCAGGCTATTTATCAGTTCCTCCGCGGCGTCGAGCTCCAGTCCGCCGCAGGCTTCCCTGGCACGCGTCACTGCTGACCGAAGGTCTGCCAACGACGATCCCAGCTGCTGCGAAGTGTTGTTTAGCTGCATGGCGGATGCCTGATCGGTGACGGTCGGCAAAACGGCTCTAGCCGCCTTTACCACGGCGGTGCCCGGGTGCAGAAATTGCTCGGAAGCGTTTATCAGGTTTAACTGTGCAGTAGGATTGTCTGGCTGTGCCTGCGTGCCCTTCACTCCCGATACGAGATGTGGAATCTGCTGTGCTATCATGCGACATTCCATGTTGAGCTCCTCCTGGCTGGCAGGGTTAGTGTTGTGATGCCCGGCACCAGAAGACGCTGCGATACACTGTGTGGCCGTGGACGCGGCCTGTTTCGCGCACGCCTCTAGACGCGTGATGAGTTTTCTACGTAACGCCGGGGTTGCTGCCGCTGTGGTCGCAGCTCGCAACTCTTCCGCTGCTTGGCGCAATTGATCCTGCATCCTGGCGTCGTGCGGGCTGCTAGCGCACTGCCGCGCCGCCTCCACCATCTTGGCAGTGGCGTCGGCGAGTAGTTTCGCCGCCGCCAATAAACGTTGTTGCTGGTCCGAGTCAGTCTGCCTCTCCGCCTCGCCTTTGATGCTCTGAATCAACTGTGCAGTAGCCTGACCAACCACTCTCGCCTGTCGTACCATCTCGCCGGCGTCACCGGTGCTGGCGAACAGTTTGTCCGTCGCGACCAAGATGGTTTCCACCGCGCCTTCCTGGATGGATTCCTTGGCGCGCTCTCTAGTGGCGGTCTTGATGTGATTGAGAAGGTCGTTCAAGGTGCGGCTGACCTCGGCAGCGGCAACGCTGAGTTCCTTTAGCAAGTTGTCATCACTGCACGTCTCGTTGCAGACCTGAACCAGGCGCTCCACAGCCTTGGTCACCTCGCGAACGGCGTTCATTAACTGCGTTTGACAAGCGGGCGAGTGTAAAGTCGGCGCTACGACCTTGGCGCAAGCCACGAGCTGAGATGTAGCCAGCGCGCACTGCGTCGCAGCCGATATCACTCTATTCTGCGTGGCCGAGTCCTCACACGTGGCTGCTATATTCTTCGCTTTCAATACCAGAGCAGCGGTGGTATTGGCCACGGCCTTAGCGAGAGCGAGCAACATGTCTTGCAGCTCGCGATTCGAGTCGTCCTCCTCACCAATAGTTGTCAATACTTGATGCGACGCCTCACCCACTCGCGATGCCGCATTTAATAGATTCTGCCGAGGCTAAAATATAAGCAAAACATTCATATAATGTCCAAAAAAAAACTAGAGAAAAGGGAATAAAACAAAAGGTTTAAAATAGTAATTTGTGTCTGATCAGCCTTTCAAGTATATTTTTTAAAGATTAGAAGATGTGCATCTTTTAACTCGTCTATGTCACATAATCGTAGATAATATAGATTAATCTTACCATTTAATTATGTACATTAAAAAATGTCTATTAGCGAAATTTGCACCTCAGGGATACAGACGGATTAAAGTCGAGTGCTCGGAAAAAGTCTAATGCATCTGTAAAAGCGGGTCTAATATTAGTGCGCTACAAATGTTAGTGCTTACATATTGTCCGTAGAGCGTAGACGTTATGTAGAAAGGCTGTGGGGGGGAAAAGGAGAGTTGAAATTCAACTTTACATCGTGCATTAATTCCACATTATACTTCTTTACGCGGGTCGTCCTCGTTACGACAAACTCACCTCCTTGGTCTCCGGTTCCGTGGCCTTCAGCAAGTCGGAGAACGCGGAACAGAGTTTCCTGGCGGCGTCTAACAGTCGCTCGCCGGACGACTCGTCGTCCATGAGAGCCGCTATCATCCGCACACCCTTCGTCATCTCCGGCAGATTCGTGGCGATCGTGGTAATCGCCGCTCCCACTGCGGTGTGATCGACATCGTCCGCTGGCCCGGAAGTCAACGTGACCACCTGGGCGGTCGCGGCGTTCATCGCCGCGATCTGCGAGCCCACGTTCTGCTTGTGGGTGTCGATCGTCTGCTCGATCCATCTTAGGGACGCCGGATCCGTGCCGAGCTCGGGTAGCGTAGCCTTCGTAATGAGTTCCGTCTCGGCGATGTGGATCACCTCGTGACCGGCGGTGATGGTCGATAGTAAGGCACGTTGCGGTTCAGATAGGACGGATGTCACCTTGGTTTGTTGGACCTAGTTTCGAACGTTCATACATTGTAGACGTCCCGCAAGCCTGACCGATTAAGCGGTCCATAAAAAAGATATTTCTCGCGTAAACAAATGTAAGGAACGAAACGATTTCGCTTATAACGGTCAATCAACGAACGTAAACGCACGTACATACATAACGAAGCGATAAACTGCAACAAATAGTTGCGGCGATACAGAGTTTACTGATACTGATCGAGCACGAGCAAGTATTCTGTCGTGAGGAAGCAAGTTACACAGACTTTATCTATCCAGTAAGCGCTGTACCGAGAGATAGAATTGATCGACGAAGATAAACCGCGAAAGAATCAAACCGAACAGGTGAAATAAACAATCTATACAATAAAGAATAGGAGATAACTGAAAATGTTATCGTGGTGTACCTACTCTGTGTCCGCAATAGAAGGCGCCTAGCATGAAAATAAATTCAACCGTCTATTAGTCCCTTAAAATTTCGCTCTCTAACAGTGCAATATAATCATCTTATCGGTGCGACTTTAGACATTCACAAGAAATGCGATACCGTCCCAAATACACATTCATATCCCCATATCATCAATCGTTAACAATTACACAGTAGAGGGAGAGACACACGCGGTTTGCCACCCAAAGAATCAAATTTTCACACATCGAGACGCATATATATTTATAACAAGCAACCAAAAGACACCGACATGAGCTTGAGAGCAGCTTGGGCGACTTTTTAACAGTACTTACCATAGGCGGAGCATGAGCGATGTTCACCTGTCCGCTGACGGTCGTGTACTGGGCACCACCTATGTGGCCGGTTCCATACGGTCGAGCCCCTATAAATCACACCATGCACTCTAACTCTATGGCTGTATTTACAATTATTGACAATCCCGATCGAGTCCTCGATACTGTGAGATCTGTTCGTTTAGACAATAATTTTCTGTTGAAAGCCAAAAGCGAGTTTGATATACGCTTAATTATTTCATCTTATAAGCAACACTTTCACGAACGCCTGAAGCTAAACGTGTGTATTTACAAAATGAAAGGTGTATGTATGTACAAAAACACATATCAATAGCTAAGATCCGAGGATTCAATCGTGCAAGAAAATTACTAGTTTGATTTTCCTTCTAAGTACATCGAGTAAAACAACGGTATATCATGACTTATAAAATTGAAAGCAAACATAATTTTTAATTTATGAAGAATATTATATTATTATAAGCTGCCATATAGACCCAAATGAAAAATCTGATAATTATATAATTGCTGTTGATATAACAAGATATAGCATCATCAGAAATAGTTCTAATCAACTTATCTAGAAGATAAGACGCGAAGTATATTAAATTTTCGCTTACCGTCTCCTCCCGCCCTCATAACAGCTGGTATCGCGACTGAGACGGCTTCTACATTCCCTTTGCCAACATTGCTGGTCTCATGTTGCATGATGGTGGCTCTGTCGAATACAAATTTACATAAACTTCTGACAACGAGTCCACGTATCACTCTTATTTAACGCGAGTTATACCCGTTAAAATCGGAAACAGCTCGAACACACTTGTTCGCGTGGCGTCTTAGAAACTCTTCCATGATCGCACCGGATTAACGCGAAATATGTCAGGACGCGACGCGTGATTGAACGTAAGTCGGCCGCTTTAAGACGAGCCCGGCTCTCGTCGAGAACTGATAATTGCTCTAACATTCTCTTAATGACTATTATTACTTCTGTCTCCACACTCGGCTCGGAGGAGCTAACATGCAATGAGAGCGTGGAGAGATACTTACTTCAGTGGCGACACGCTATCCTCCACCATGGTGGATCCCTCGTCTCCCTCGATACCGAAGTGATCCTTCGCTTTCTGTTTCTTCAGGATAATATCGATGTAACCGGCGATCAGTTGAAGTATCTGCTCTGCTTCGGTAGTCTGTACACTGTAATATTGATCAGAATAGTCGCCGAAGTCGAGGGTGAAGGTATTCGGTGACGCGCCCCAACGCCGCACGGTCGTCAACGGCCATGTCTTCAGAATCTCCTTCGTCTTCTCGTCGAGTCGCAGGACTGAATCCTTCGTCACGCCGAGTAGACGCGGCACCAGCTTGTTCTTGCCCTTCATCTTCTCCTTCACCAAGAAGAACGTGACGCCGTACGTGTTCAGCGACCTGGCGGTTTTCGTGTACAGGACCTTGGCATCCAGCTCCGAGAGTCCGATGTGCTTTTTGTGCTCCGCGAAGACCTTCTTCTCGATTCCCTTCACTTTCACATACGATTGCGGCAGAAATTCCTTAAGACTGAAAAAGAATGCGATATAAGTGAAACGTTAATCGACGTAGAAACGAAGAATTGTAGGCAACTCACTCCAGAAAACCCGTTTTATGCTTCTCCTCTTTGTGATCGCCAAATTGAATTTGACACTGAATCCCGGCGAAAACGCAGGCCTTTTCCTGCGTAATCGGATGCGTGCCATCCAGAATTGCGTCTCGCGCTTGCACATATAACAGCGACAATTGTACAGGATCGCGACTGTCAATGTTTTGGTCCGAGAAGAAGAATTTCCTCCTCAACAGAACGGTTTCGGATTCGTCTATGCCTTGTTCGCGCAGGGTCTTGCTTGGATCTATCCAATTTACTGTGAAACCAAAACAACACGAGAGTCAGATAAACGTATTTCACAAACTCCTGCCGCAATATACGTGCATATTGGCGGAGTTTTCAATTAAACATCAACAGAGGCCCGGCGGTTATTTACCTTCGTCGTCGGTTTTTAACTTCTTCCTCAATTGTTCCATCTTGGCATCCCTCTCGCCCTTCTCCTCTTTCTTCCTCTTCAATGTGAGAGTGCCGAAATTCCCGGGTTTCTGATTCTCGTTCTCGTCGTCCACTAGCTCGCGCACCAAGGAATACTCGTCGTGATTCGTGATACCAATCTTCGTACATATCACCACCATGAGATTGGCCACGGGCTGGCTGTCGTCCACCAACATGGTCTTCAGCGTTCCGTCCAGCATGCGGACTCGCAGCGTACGGAGCTTACGGCGGTACTCAAGCAGATCCCCATTTCTCAAGATGTAGTAGTCGAGATTTCGCCCGGGCTCGAGCCAGACTCCCTTCTTCACGTCCTCGTCGGCGAGAAATATGCCGTAATCTTTCGCTACGCAAAGAATAATAATAAAAGTAGCCTTTATCTTTGTACTAATTACTTATACACAGTTGAAAAATTTGTGTTAAATTTAACAGATATCACACGTCCCAAACGGTCCACACAAATTCTCGTGTTAATTTAACATAATATGGATATGTTAAATGATCACACTAATACTCTGTTAATATTTTTACACAAAATAAGTGGAAATCTCAAAATAATTTGAAATAAATTGTGTAAAACTGACATAATTTGAATTTAAAAATGTAATTTTTACATTTTACAGATGTAATAAGTCACATGACGGTTCGAAAACTCTCACTTATGTCATATAGAATAAAATTAATATTTTATTCTGTAAATTTTAACAGATAAATCTTGTTACTAATAATATAGAAGATGTGTATTGTGTAAGATTAAAAAATAAGTACACATTGTGCTGTTTTAACATTTCTTTTCGAGAATTTAAATAATTTTACATTTGAGGTCAATTAACACAAGAGCAATATGTTATATTAACGCATGAATATGTTAAGCATTTAACACAAAAATGTTAACCGGCATTTTCTTTAACAAGAAAACACAAATTTTCCAACTGTGTATTTCTTTATATCATAAGAAATGTTAATCATGCGAATTATATCTCTTACGGCTTAACGCAATGTGTAATCTTGCACAGGATGAGCTGAACATTACTGTCGTCAAAGTAAACTGAAAACTCGGCGTGAAATGTTTTGAATATTCTTTTTATCGCACGAGCTGGTCAGTGAAATATGCCGATATTTTCAGGATACTCAATCTGCATTGTCCCATATAAATTCTATTATCGATAATAAAAAAAAACTTAACAAAAAAAGGATTTAATTCGTCTCTCTGCGCGAAAGCCACCGCGGCAGCTATGTTTTAAATATCTCACATCGCGTCGACATAAAAAATATCTCGATAATACAATTATTTTCAGGCTAAACAAAATATCGAGCGTTTACGTTGACCCATGTTGCTGGCCTCGGCGAGCTTTTCCCTGATGATGCGACAGGCGTCGTACACCGACGTGCTGGGGTCGAACTGCATCATCTTGGTGGCGTTCTTCTCCGGTATGGAGATGCGCAAGGACAGGGTCGCCATCGCGATTGCCTGGGGTGACCTTCTGCGCGCGCGAAAACCTCCAGAGTCGCTCGACTGAAAGAGAACGACCGCGTGTAAAATAAGATTATCAAGTTGATCAAGCCTGAATCAAGACGGAGGGGAGGAGGGAGCTTCATCCCGCGGAACCGACCGTTTTCGCCGGACGCGTGTGGTTTGTTTCGCGAAGGGACGAGGGCCTTACGCGCGTAATAATCGCGATTGCGGCGTCTCGCCGATCGCGCGCGGCGTGAAGTTATATCTCGCGAAATGATCAGATAATCCCGGTACTATGTGGACGGCAATTTAAAGGATTATGCAGGAGCACGCAGCTTCCAGGCGAAATTGCACGCAACAAGTTGCAAGGGTCGACTATTATGTCCCCTACCGTCACGATCTACGACGGCGGAACTCGTTAATGTAATCATGTAACGTCGTTAAATTCAGTCGCGTTATTTGTATACGCGCAAATTTCAATCCGAGGGATCGTGATTACTTGCGCTGGCGACGATCGAGAAAAATCACCGCGCCTTCCGCGTCTTCCGCCTCGTGCGGAGGACCAGTTAAGCTCTTTACGCGGTACCTTCGTCGCGATTTATCTGGAAAAAGCACCGGGGACGAGGACACGTCGGCGAGGGACGTTTGGCGCGAGTGGGAACGAAGCGACCACGGCGACGGATTAAAAATGATGCGCGCTAGACCGAAGGGGGAAGTCACCGTATAGGACTTCTGTCTATATGCATATCGATCTCCCATAGTAATATGTATCACACTCTTGCCACGCAAAATTCACCGGCGGGTTGGTTGTCGTCCCTCACGCGCGTGGAAACGAAGAACTCGCGGAGAAGCAAGAACACGCCCTTTCATCCCCCCCGAGCTCGGAGCAATTAAATCGGATCCGATAGCCAAAAAGAGGAAGAAGAAGAAAAGAAGAGTGTACTCAACAAACGAAGTAATGAATTTCTCACGTGATACGCAGCCCCGGTGATTTATAAACGTGTAAAACACTCCGAGATGATGTCAGGATATAATTTAAACGGACGGTTGCCGAGAAGGGAGGAAGATGAATGAGAGCGCGCCGTTTAACTACGTTTGATCGCCTTAATAAAGATTACCCCCGGCGAGGATATCTCGCCGGTAATTGCAAAAAGAGAGCAAGGGGGGGAGGAGGGGGAGCAAATTCTGAGATATGAATAGATTAAATCATGACATTGAATTCGAACGGAGTGTCATTACCCCCGCCCCGGAGGTGCAAAACGCGCCCGGGGGAAGGGGGGAGCGCAAAGGACGGAGAGTGCGGGGAGCTTCGAGTGCAGCTTCGGCGGCTCCGGTCCTCTTATCAGACGAAGCAATTGCTATCCTCTCGCTAATTTGCGGCGCGCGAAACGCCGCATTCTTCCGCGACAATAAGCGCGTCGTTAGAACGTCGCGAGAGGATAAACATCCAATTTCGTTGTATTCATCCCCCGAGTCGATCACAGCCGACGGGTTCATTCACGCGTTCTCCCGCGCGTGTCCTCTGAAGGGTCAGGGGGGGGAGGGGGGGGAAAGGGAGACAGGGGGAGACGGCAGGACCCTCGCGGGTGGAATAGCGATGCCGCATAAATTCGTCGCAGGTATACCACCCTACGCCAATGTGGACTTCCACCCTTAAACGTTGCCAGGCAACGCCGGCCTCTGACTGTGTCAAACTCCGAGCGTAACCCCCTGCCATATACCCTACCCTTGGCTGTCCTTTCTTACGAGCTCTCTCTCTCTCTCTCTCTCTCTCTCTCTCTCTCTCTCTCTCTCTCTCTCTCTCTCCCCCCCCCCTCTCGTTCTCGCCCATGTCGCCCCCGTTTCGTCCATCTTCCCTTTCACTTCCCCGTCCATGTCTCTCGGCAACAATTTTCACTCAATTAACGTATGGTTTTGATTTCATCGCGCGTATCAAATTTCCAACCTGGACGGGGAGGAGGGAATTGGATGACCACCGAACGCGAATGTGTCAAAATTGCGAAAAATGTACGCCCGGTTCCTCAGTCATCAAGTATTTCGTCACTAAATTGTCCAGGGAGAGATTTTCGAAGTCGACGAGACGTTCCGTCGCCGGTAAATCATCGTACTTGTAGAAAAGGCAATTAAGGATCGGCTGCGTGAATTCAGATCAGCTATCATATGCAAGCACTCTTTTCTCGTTGGAACAATTAAAAAATAATTTGTGCAACTTTTGGAAAATTTACTTCGGCAATGTCAAATATAAAGCGACTATTTATGTTGACACCAGGCGGTGAGTCTGCCTCCCTTTATATAAAGAATAAAATTATTTATTATACAAGATAGGAAATTTCTACAGGGAGAGAATTTTCTCTTAAAATTTATCCCAAAGATCATGGCATTTTGAAGAACTTTACGAGAGGTTTTTGAAATTTTGCCATACATTTTACTAGTAATAGTACTTACAGTTAGTACACACTTTACTAGTAAAATGTATGGTAAAATTTCAAAAAAACTCATAAAATTCTCCGAGATGCCACGTCCCACGATTACATAATTTTCAGGATAAGTTTTAAGAGAAAAATTCTCTCCGTGCATTAAATCTGAATTTCTATGGCGAGTATAGCGAACCGTCGTATCTTATCGAAACATGATGGTGTGATGGTTTCCCTATTTACAGTAATAAATAAATCGGTTTTTATTTGGCGCGCAATGTAACACACGAAATATTTTAACTCGCTAACAGTTGTGGAAAATTGCTCTGTATGTCCGATTAGGTGTACATTTTGTTCGCCCCCAGAGACACGAGCTAATACCTTTTCCCCCCCGAGTGATATCGTCGGAGTTCTCTCTTTTTTTTTAAAAAAAAAAGAGGGACAAAGTGAATATCCAAATGGCAGAACGTAGAGGAAGAAAAAAATCGCGCAACAGGCAATCGCTCGCAGTGAAACGCCGATGGGCGTTTCGCTGCGAAATTGAAACCACCGTTGGCTACAAAGTTACTCCGTTCAATTCGCAATACGTCACCTTCCTACCCGCACGAACTCGATTCAGAGGGAATGACCTCATTACATACAACTGGATCATCAACTCCATACATACCGCCAGTGGGATGGAGCCACTTCTCGACAATGCTGGCATTGATATTGCTGGAAATTGAATATTCTTACGAGAGGAACGTTGCGCAACCGTTCGTTGAAAGGCCGGTGATAAAGTGGCGAACTCTTTGTTTCGTCAGCTCATGTTAAATTCAATTCTTTATTTACAAGTTCGATTAAACGGACAATTAAGGACGCGGCGGCGAGGGCGGTTTAATTGTTTGCGATACGCAAAGACGGAAACGTCGCGAATCCCCGATTAAAAAACGGGATGGCGGTCGATACATTTTTCACCGAGCCTCTCCACGTTCCGCGGGGACGGAAGCTGAGAGACATTTTGTTACAGTGACCTCGGAGGAAAAAGGGGGCGCGCGATAAAGAGGCGGAAGGAGCGAGCTATTAGGAGCGGAACGGAAAATTTGTTTACGTAACATGATAAAACCGCCTCTTTATCCGGCGATCCCGGTCGCGCGTTGTTCTTTCAACGTACTAAAACATAAGTAGGGCTTTCATCTCGATCAAAACTCCAATACCCTCCCTTTGACGTACTATAACAAATTCCCGGCCATTTTATTCTCCCTCATACCGTCTAAATTCTCCACGGATCTTCCTCTTCGATACGGCTGATTGCCCGAGTACGAAGTCGACGATAGCGCGAGCGAAAATCTTCTTAATGGAGTCACCCCACCACAAAAAACTCGACGTTGTTTCCAGACCCTGTACGCAAGACCGTGGAATACGCGAGGAAAAAGGGAGGAGGGGGCGGAGAGAGGCAGTTGCGCGATTCGCGTTAATCAAGAGCGTTTCTAAAATTAGACGCCGCGCATAGTATCCGCCGCGATGACACTTGACGCGGTCTAATTGAGGGCGGCGATCCGGGGCGAGGCAGGAGGGTAGTAACGAAGACGCGATTATGCGGCAGCGCACGGCAAAATCGGCTAATCCCGCCGGCCCCGTACTCCTCGCCCTAATGGATCGTATGCCGTGCATATACGTGCCAATCAGCGCGGCGGGCCTCCGTCGATTATCGCGGAAACGGCGAATCTATAGTGGAAACGTGTTAATCCGTCTCCCCGTCCGGCCGGCCGGCTCTCGTCATTTATCATCGCGACGCAGCGCGCGCGCGATTCAATAGCTCGGCCCCGTTATTTACCGTCCGCGTTAAAATCTCGCGATAATTCGCGAAAAAATCTCCCCCCCCCTCCCTGCTCGTCCCCCGCGTCAGGGCAATTCAGATAGCGTTTCCCATTGTCGGAATCGCGGCGACGCCGACCCGATACCGCGTTGCAATTATCGATATGATAATTTGAACGCCCTCGAATTAATCTTTATGCAAATCCCCGTGCGACCGGTCCCCAGGCCGTTCTTCTCTCGTAAGCATCTCGGTTTAAATTAACTCGAGTCTTAACTGATTCTCCGGGCTATTTTCCAGGCGGAACCGCGGAGGGCGGGGGGGGGGGAGGGAGTCTCATTGAAACTTCAGCCAAGTTCGGACGCCGCGTTTACGGGGGCCGAGCGCGCGCGCGACTCGCCGCGTTTACAACTCGGACGCGACGTTACACCGGCGCGTATCTGTAACCGGTGTTTTTGCCCCGGTTCGCTCGAGGATGATAGCGATGCGCGCCGCGCGCGAGTGTTAACGGGGCCACGCGCGACACGAGCCTTATGCATATATTCCGCGCAAATTACATTTACTATGCATTAGAATATATACTTCGCGCCCACTCGGCGAGAGATTAATACTGATAACACGATTTCCCGCGGCCACCTCCAATACACCGGCATCGCCTTTGATTTTCGTTATTCTTTCATCGGGAGCCCAATTTCTCGAATTGGGTCCGGACACCCGCCGACCGATGAGTTATGCAAAAGCCCGGCGAAATCGAAATATTAATAATTGCCGACTTAATCGTCACTATTGATGTAATCGCTGACTAAATTATTGCTAATTATCACTAGCGGTGTTGTCATCAAGTAATCATG